TTCAAAGACGGACTGCCCAACAGACATGCCACTCAGGGGAGATCCCCGTTTTGCAAAAGGAACCACCTCGCGTCCTTCGAGCGAGGAATGGAGAATGCAAGCAGGCACCACCAGACAGTTCCACAAGGTGTCCAGCGAGCTGCCCGCTTTGAAACATGGGCGTTCCCCATGTGTGTGTGTGTTTTGTAAGAGCTTACAATGATTGTCATGAACTTCGAGGAAGCATCAACCGAGAGACAAATGTTGGAAAGAAAGCATAGTCCATCAATCTAAGCCCTGCTGGAACGAATGGGCGCGGTGCGAAGGCAAGAGTCCTATTCTGAAGAGTAGCCACCTTCCACCCCTGTAACGGCAACAAGCTTTTACACAGAAAATGCGCGTCGCGAAGGCACGAACCCTTGAAAGGACCTGCCCTCCACCCTTGAAACCGCTGCAAAGTATTAAGACCAGTGTGCGCAACGCGAAGGCGACAGCCTGCGACAGCCCAATTTTGAAAACACCCCTCCCCCAACTCACCCTTCGAATCTTGCAAAAAAGAATGCGCGCGGCGCTACGGCGACGATAACCTCATTTTGAAAACCGCCGCCCCCTCCATCACTGTGACTGCTGCAAGCCTTGAGAACAAATTGTACGGCGCTGCGGCAAAAAAGCCCCATTTTGAAAACCAACGCCACCCCACCCTTCCAAGCTTTAGGTCGGGCATGTCCCCCTATAGACGGACTTTCGGCGAAAATAAAGAAATACTCCAAAAAATGCCAAATCATATATATAATAATAATAATAATAATACTAATAATAATAATAATAATAATAATAATAATAATAATAATAACAATAATAATAATAGTAATAATAATAATCGAAGTATCGTCTCCCGATTGTTTTTACTATTTGTGAATATTCCTCCTGTAGAGGGACATGCCAGACGTAATCCAAGCTGCAGAATGCCACATGGTGATCTCGGACGAAACACCCAGCACGCCACACCGACACGTCCTGGAGAGGAAGGGGGGGGAGGGGCGAGAGAAGGAGGAAGGGGAGGGGGAGGGAAGAGAGGGATGGAGCATGAGGAGGAGAAGGAGGAGGGGAAGGCGAGGTTCGCTGAGGGGAGGGGAGGGCGAGGGAGAGCAGGAGGATGAAGAGGAGGGCGATGTAGAGGAGGAAGAAGGGAGCACGCAGAGGAAGAGAAGGACAAGGGAGACACAGCAGAAGACGAAAGGGACAAGACAGAGGAAGATAAGGGCAAGGGAGAGGAAGAGAGGGACAAGGGAGCACGCAGAGGAAGAGAGGGACAAGGAAGAAGACAAAACATCACTACAGTGAGGACAGTTTACACAAGGATGACAACAACAAGTAATGGAAACAGAAAAGAACGCGAATACGCAGAGGACGGGAATGACTGGAGAAGGAAGGTCGAGGAGGACGAGGAAGAAGCCAATGACCAAGGTTAACACGACGAGGAAGGACAATAAGGGCGAGAAAAACGGAAGTTGAGGACAAGGACGAGGAAGACGAGGGAGGGAAAGAGAAAGGGGAAGGGAATGAGAAGAGGAAAGGGAGGGGAAGGGGAGGAGGGGGTAAACGGGGAAAGGAAACAGAGGGGCGCAATCCAGACGGAGGATAAGGAAGGACCGCCGCGTGTGCGCAGGCAACGAGAGGGGCGTCACCGGGGGGACGTAGACGAGGGAGCCAGGCATGTACGAGAAATCCATGCCCTTGTTGACGACTAGGACAGTCTCCTGGCTGAGCTTGCGCCCAGACCTGAACGCGACGACCAACGCCGACGCGAACGACGACGAAAAAGACGACGACGACGACGCACGGCAGGCGACAACGACAACGACCACGACGACGACGACGACGACGACGATGGCGACGATGGCGACGGCGACGGCGACGACGGGCGAAGACCGACGGCGACGGCGACGGCGACGGCGACGACGGGCGACGACCGACGAGGACGACGGGCGATGACCGACAACGACGGACGACGGACGACGGACGACGGGCGACGACGGAAGACGACGACGACGACGACGACGACGACGACGACGACGACGACGACGACGACGACGGCGACGGCGACGGCGACGGCGACGGCGACGGACGACGGACGACGGACGACGGACGACGACGACGATGACGACGACGAAGGACCACCAATCCCACGACCAGCTCCTGCTGAACGCCTCATGGAAGCCGACGCCGATCATGGTCCTCGGGGGCCGCGCCCCCCTCGGCCCGCTCTTCTCCGCCCTCCCCTCGAACTTCGACGCCTCTCAGATGGGGTCCGAGCACGTGGGGTCGGAGGATCGCGCCGCGTCAATGATGCGACTTCGGCGGTGCACCAGCGGCGCCGGCGCAGATTACGTTGCTCCCATCGTACTTAAGGACCACATCCCAGAAAGAATTGCGAGCGCCCAGAAAAAGTGTTGAAACAGTGTCGAACGAGTGTCGCCTCCCAGGGCCCGACACGTGAAAACCCTCAAGATTCGGCACT